TTGGCCTGCAAGTTGCTCACAGGTGCGTCTGTGGTGTTCCAGTACTGACTACCGACGGCCCACCAAGCTTCCGAGATGCGCTGCCATGTGAACATGGATGGGGAGTAGGAGTATCCCTCGCCGTTGGACAAAGAAACGATGACACGGCCCTCTGAGTTAATGCGTGCGTCTGTAACTGCAGGAGCGGCAGTGGGGTGCGCGCCCATGGTATGAATTGCCGCATCTAGGACTGGCTGGAGGGAAACTGGTGGGTGAGGAGAAGACAAGTGCTTCACATTCCAGACATAGCACATGCCCACAGAGGAGATGCACAGGATCCACGGTCCATTGCACTCCAATATGACAGGCTGTGCCTCCAGAACAAGCGCACTTACCAGACGACGACCTGCCGGTGACCAAAGATAAATTGATCCATCTTCGCAGCCCGCTGCCCACATGCTCTGATTACCAGTCACCAGCAGGACAGTCCGCGGTAAGAAATCCTGCCATAATGGCTGATCTCCGCGGAACAATGTCAGTCGTACTGGCTCGCGGTCCACGACACGACCAGTCAGACTTGCTGGTGATGGGTTCCGAGCTTCGAAAACCACGTCCACGCGACTCTTGGGAGAGCTTGAGTCTGTACCAGGGCCTGGTTGTTCCGTCGGTTTCCCGCTCGAATCTAGCGCGCGGAGAATCTGGCTGCGGATTTTGGGGACTGCCAGACGAAGTTGACTGACCGACATACAAGGATTTGTGACTGCGGGGCGAATGAAATCTGGAGTTGGCTGTTGGCCAGTCGTGGCAGATTGAACTTGAGCTGGTAGAAGACCATCGGCAGTATTGGCCATGATGGGAGTTGCACCATTTTGACTTGCAAGTGTCACACGCTTTTCTACGCTGCCATCTTCGTCGCCTTCTATTTGGGCCAACTTGCGCTTGTTTCCAAGAAGAAGGGCAGTCAGACCACCCTTAGGTAGGCCGTCAAAGGGTTTTGACAGGTCAACAATGGTTGTCGGAGCGTCAGCCTTGACCTGATTGCTGACAGATGCCATCAAACGGGCTTGCGGGAGGGATGACTCGCTGACTCCAGCTCCGGAGACTAGTAAAGGGGCGATACGCTTTTTGCCCTCTTTGGTATATGTAGGACGCTGCTTCAGTCTTTCCAGCTTGGCTTTGTAAGGGTCGGGCTTCTCTGATTCTGTAGCAGCAGGTGCCGAAGGGGTTCCATTCGTCTGGGTCTTCGTAGCTTCGGGAGCTGGCGAAGAGCCCCGAGCAGGTGTAGTTCCATTTGATGGCTGTAGGGCTTTATCTCCATTGGTAGTAGGTTCAGCGCCATCGCCCATCAGTGCACCCATTCTTCCTTCAACGTGCTTGATCTCACCAGCCTTGCTCTTTTCCTCCAGCAGTAAGCCGTCAGTGGTTTCTGTGATGCCGGCACCCTTCCGATTAGTTCCGAACTTAGTGAGTGATTTTTCATTCTCTTCCATTTCCGTGGCCCAGCCCAGCTCGCCATCTTCAAACCTAACTGCCACAATTGTGCCATCTAGGGCAGTAGCAAAGAGACACTTTCCATCAGGGGTCCATGCCAGATCCGATATAGCTTTGGCAGCCATTTCCTGCGCAACCACAATCGGTCGTGCATTACTCGTAATCCAAATACTGAGGGATTTGTCTCCACCGGCACAGGCAATAACAGTAATATGGTGTTGTAGTACAGGCTGTCCATCGGCTTGCTTCTTCCCGGGCGGCTCAGTTGCATAAAGTCGTGGAGAGAATGAGCAAACCTCAACGGGTGCCTCATGTCCAATCAAATTGATGTCGCCATCCCATGATCCGCGGTTAATGATGGCCACAGAGCTCACAGGGCCGTTCACAGCGTTTGCAGCTGCGATATGCATCCCATCAGGCGACCAAGAGCAGCGACGGAAATAGGCTGTCAAAGGAGAATTGGCGAAGGGAGCTGTGATAGTTTGCTCAAGGACGAAATTGTTCATATGGTCGTGAGCTGAAGAATTAGGGGCAGGGGAGGTAAATCGGAAGATGCGGACGGTCCGGTCATCACTAGCAGTTGCGAAATATTTGTTTGCCGGATCAAAAGTGATGCCTTTGACGTGACTCTGGTGAATTGCAATCGTCTTCAGCTTTTCAAATGAGTGACCAGACCACACAACAACCTTCGAGTCCAGCCCAACGGAGACCAGAATCGATGAGTCGAAGGACCATCCAAGATCCTGGACATCATTATCATGACCGATCAGACGCCGAATCGTGCGCCAATTCTCAACCGGGGGTGCTTCATCGGTGCCTACAAGTTTTCAAATAGCTGTCAGTTTCTGCCTCCATCTTTCCATGCCTAGTATTTCCAAAGCGTACCAAATGTTGACGAGTGTGTTGGAGGGTTAGCATCGAGTGTGTACACGCAGACAATCTTGTCGTCTGCGCCTGACGCAAGGTATTTCCCGTTGGGCGAAAAGCGGACGGTGTGAATTGTGCCCGAGTGGTTACTCATTGACGCCAGTTGTTTTGGCTTGCCCTCAAGTTCCGGAGTTCCGGTGCCGTAGATGGCTTCCGTTGACCAGATTCGCACGTATCCATCTGAAGCGAAGCAAAAGCAAGAATGTCAACAAGGATTCCCTCTGCGGCGCATCTTTGAGACCTCCGCCTCAAAACAAAGAAAGGGTCGGACTCACCTCCAGCAGCAGTGACTAGTCGCTTCCCATCTGGTGAGACATCGCAGCTATAAACCTCGAAATCCTTGCGTTCACCTGTATCAGAGCAATCAAATTAGCACATTTTACCCTTACAAGAGATGATTTTCTTCAGTTCTCATCAAGCACTGTGTCTCCGTCCCATCGGCGTCAAGTAAAGAAAACCAGGGCAAGCAAGCTCCATACCTCCATGAGTGAGCCAAACCGGCTTTATGATATGCATCGCACCAGTCCCAGAGCAAAGTCAGGGTTATTCGCTTATTCCTCGGAGTTTTGAGTGGTCGTGTCTCGAAATAAGGTCGTGCGACACGTCTCAGCACCAAAGGGCGCAGAGCGTGGGTAAGGAGGGGAGCTGCGCGGCGTGTCGGGAGCTGATTGTTGAGTGCTTATATGAGTTTGACGTGGAACATGGCAGGACCAAGAGCCAAAACAAATGGGTTCCTCGGTCACGAGACTTAAAAAGAAACCAAAAAAAATGAGGCAAAAAAAAAATGAGGCTCAGGTCCAGATGAGAACAACCGGAGATTAAAAGGGCGCGAATCCAAAAGTCGCGACCTCCAGATTTGCCTGGTCCGAGCTCCCGCGTTGATAGTGTCTTTTGAACTACACTGCAAGAGCTAGCACTTATGGGTTTCTTTTAGAGAGGGGCCACTATCATTTTGTATATTTTATACTAATGCCGATATTTTTTATGCTTGCCGATTATTTCAATCCAAAATGGTGTAGCGCAAACATGGTTCTACACCAGAAATTATGGCGACTGAATTTATACCGGGACAAACTTGTATTCAATGAATGATCATAGCAAAGAAGCAAAAATCGACAACGACTCGGGCACCAGTTAAATACGATCTTCAAATTTCTTGATGGATTTACATGTTGAGGTTTCGGTATCTTTGAGCCTCATCCCTTGCTGTAGGAGAGGCAGAACAACTACGGAGTAGAGATCTCTATGATATCGAGGTCAACCAAAACAGACTGAATGCTATAGAAGAAAAGCCTCTGCACAATAGGTAATCAATGGTTGTCTTTTAAGGTGCACTTCAATACACGCCGAGCATTGAGTGGAAACTCTCTGAATGTGTGTTGATGCACTGGTGATAGGGCGGATCTAGTATAAGAAACATGAAAATCCATCAGTTATTCATATCACTGAAATCTCCTTGCTAGATCATTTCCTTGCCAACATGACGACATGATAATTTATTTCTTGCCGGATCCACTGGATCCTCCAGAGGGGGCAGTGTAGGTAGAGCTTCCCGACCCGCTGTTGTAGTAGGAGCTTCCATTGGGGTTGGAGTAGTAGTAGGAGCCATTGCTAGAGCAAACAGTCAGATCAAACTGTTTCCATTCATCCCATATGCATGACAGCTTCGTTCCAGATAGGTGCTTACGTATTGGAGTAGTGGTAGTTGTTCGAGTTAGACGTGCTGGAGCCGTAGTCGCGAGAGCAATAGTGGTTGCCCTAATTTGTCTTTTGTCAGTGTCACATGTATTCTGATATTTACCACGAACAATTGTATCTATTGTGTTCTTGGTGGCATAAAATAGGCAAAAAGGGCAGAGGCATACCTGGCTGTTGGTGCCAGAGCTGTTGATGGTGTATCCCTTTCCAGAGCTAGACATTGTGGATATTTTATCTCTTTTGTCAAGTGGCGATAGAATACACAGGATAAAAATAAAAAGGGGGGAGAAGGCTTAATATGCCAGAGAGAGTGGAGGGGGGAAGCGGCACGAATAGGTCGGCAGCGAATCGTTCGTTGGATGATGCCACATTTCGTGAGTGATGACGTAGTTTGACGCTTAGCATGTTTTGCTATGGATCTGGGTTTATTCAAAACATTTTTAGAGTAGAAAAAGTGTGATGGAGAGTACAGATATAGTTCTCTCGGGCTACTTCAAAAAGAAAAGTTGGTGGCGCATCGGCCATCACATAATTGATCTAGTAAACACAACATCTAGAAGCAGGAAAAAGAAAAATGAGGTCTCTAGTACGGAATAACTAGTTGCAAGTCTACAAGAAGCATGCGAGCAGAATCAACAAGCTATGTACGATGTAGGCAACGAAATACCAGCTCAATGGAAACAAATTATATGAATACGACATATCTTACACTAGACCCTCTTAAGATACAAATGTTACCTTCGAAAAATGAACCAGAATGAGCCATTCTATTGATCTAGCTTATGCGATCGACTATTCGCGACTGTCTGAAGCAAAGGCCATGTTCTCTCAAGATCAATTTATTGAGCAGCATGATAATTCAACAGCTTGGCCGAAGCAGACATAATCCACACAAAGCAATTCGACTATTCCCGACTATCCAGAACAAAAGCCATTTCCTCGTGAGCCGCCTCCAATTGACCAGCGACAGTGTAGTTAATATCGCGATAGATAGTGCTCGACTCCCTAAGGCAGGTTAACGACCTAGCCAAGCCAGGCAAAATCCTTGCGCGGCAATAGTCTTGGAATTCACTGGTGAAATAGCTCGGGGGGCTAATTAGGACAGTTGGACACATCGGGGACTTTCTGGCCATAGTCTCAGCGAGCTGTCCGATGATCTCTAGATGAACGATCAGATCATAAATGGCCAGAATGGTTTCTGGGCGGCGATCTTCCAAAAGATGAAGCGAGCGGGACTCCCTTAGGAGAGCTTCTTGGAAGAACTCGCAATTACGCTCGAAGTACTGTTCATGACTCAGGTGGTTGGGTCTAGTTAGAAACATTGTTGTGTGTGAGAAAAGGACACAAGTTGTTTTAGATGCGCTCTAGATGTATACACCTTGAGCTAAGGTATGTGGACAATAATTAATGAATCGACCAGCAAAGCGTCAGTTGGGGATCGCGAGAAAGACTCGAGGAGGTGGAAAACGTCTGGCTTTAAATTGCTCTTCGAGTTGGCATTGTCTTGTTTGAACAGGTATGAATGTTCACAAAAGAGTACAAAGCTCTTGAAATGGGGATTTTTAATTCTTTGTCGAGCTCTCAGACAAGCCACCTTCAATGGTTCAGTCATCTATATTGCCTTTGTCCTTGTTCTCTTCCAGGTCGTTGATTTCTTTATTGCAAGATCGTCTGTTCCTTCCTGTCATGGATTTTTAAACCCAACCCAAGCAGATCCTCTATACAGATGTAGACTTAGTATATATTGTACAGATATTCCCGTCGTTCAATCAGCATCCCAGGCTCACCATTCGGACAGCAATATAGGAAAACTCATTACGACAACAAAAGTGTTCTCTCTGTACCTTGATACTCATTCGAATCACGACGGACAAGATACTGGTCAGCATGGCACCTTCAGAGCAGTCCTGGGCTCCCCCAAATCCTCCCACAGAGATCCCAACTGCCACCCCAGCAGGACGATACGGCAAGATCCAAGACGCAGGAGCTATACGACAACGATGGATCGAAGACCCCACAGACCCCACATGCCAAATCCAGCCCAGCACTCTGACCGTAGCCGACCTCAGAAGTGCACGCTGGTACATTCGTACCGACAAGCACAACATCCCATTCCAGGTCGCAGAGAATGTCTTCGCACTAGGATATGCCAATGAAGCGGAATACAACCAGACACTGACGCAGAATTATGCAGAGGGTGATCTTGGGCTTGCTGGCTGCGAGAACATATATGACATCCTAGTAGGAAGGGGATTGATCATCGCCGAGGGGATCTTCAGAAGTGATGGGCCTCAGTTTTCGCAGATTGCCCGGGCTCATTTGCAGGAGATTGCTGAGCCAAAGTCTCTGCGACACTTTTATGTTTGTGATGTCGTCAATACCGACACTAGGACTTTCGTGCAGGAGGTTCTCTATTCCTCGCGCAATGATCTCACTTGGCCTCCGGTTTGTAGAACACCACTCATCTGGAAATATAATAGCCCTGAGTACCAGGGGCTTCTGGGTACGCGCGTTGGGAAGTGTGCGGTGTATCTGGTGCTGGAGATCTTTCCGAGAGGTACGTATTATATTGCTAGGATTGTGACCTGGGATGAAAGTTGCTCACTTGAGATCAGGTTTGATATTGAACCGATTCCTTAATCTTTGGGTTTGGCCGATTAATCGAAATTGTTCATAGGATTGTTGTTCATCATCATGGTTTCGGGTGGACTAAACTAGGATTTGCACGGCCCTTTTACTCGGAGCTGTTAACATCGCACTTGTTTAGGTGACCTCCATCTCCACTGTAATAATCAGCAGTAAATGTTAGTAGATGGCCTCTCAAAGAAGAGGTAGGGTGGATGTAGCATAGTATTTCAACGTTGAAATCCGACCTGGATCCGCAACAATCACACCAGTGATGAAAGCGAAGGGTTGATCTAACGAAATTTACATCCGACGTCTCACGAATGACCGAAAGTTCCTGGGAAGATATAAGATAATGATACTTGTACATTGAAATATTCTCCGATCTCGGTTCTGATCAACAACCATCTTTTATGTACACATACAGGAACCAATGTGGCGAATTTGATGACACATGCACAGCGAAGTTCGCACTTTCTGTGAGACTCCTTAAGAAATGCCGGGAAACGGTCGAAAGGTAATAGGCAGTAGGAGCTGGAGAAGTAAGAGATGAGAAGTGGTGGGTAAATGTAAAGAGCCCAATCCAAGAAGAAAGCAGAAGAGCAGAGTGGAAAACAGCCCACCCATACACTAAAGGAGCCAATTGACTGGAGGTGCCAGAACACAAGGAAAAAAGACGGAGGGAATAAATCAAGGGAGGAGTCGTCGTTCTCGTTTCGGTTGGGTGAAGTACAGACGCTCATTTCTTGTGTTCACCGGCGACCGTCTCAAATCCCTCGTCCGCAGTTTGAGAGGCGATGTTGGACTGTGTGTTCTGCTCAGCCTGATCCCCAAAAAAGGTCGGCACCTGGCTGTTTTGCGGTGTTTCCGATGACTGAGAAGTGCCTTCAACCCCAAGGGTTTTCTTTGCCAGGCCCTGGGCCTGCGTCTCGCTGATCTTGCCGTAGACAGCCATAGCGTTGGCAATCATTCCACCCATGTCCCCAACATTACCAGGAACAACAACAGCCGTTCCCTCACGTGCCAAGTTCGACCAAGCTGCGACGTACTTCTCGGCAACGCTGAGACTAACAGCTTTGTGAGCATTCTCACCACCCTCCTCGATGGCCCGAGAGACAGCGTCGATTCCGAGCGCGGTAGCCTCGGCTTTAAGCTTAATAGCCTCGGCTTCACCAGAAGCGTGGTTGACCTTCTCGGAGCGCAGAGCTTCGGAAGCCAAAATAACGGACTGCTTGCGACCCTCGGCAATGTTGATCGCACTCTGGCGCTGACCTTCAGACTCGAGGATCTCAGCTCGCTTCGACCGCTCAGCAGTAACCTGGCGATGCATGGCAGCCACGACCGCCTCCGGCGCGTGGATATCCCTAATCTCATATCGAAGACAGACAACACCCCATTCCTGAGCCGCCTCGTTGATTGCCTTGGTAATGTTTGTATTGAGATTGGCGCGTTCCTTGAGAACGTGATCGAGAGTCAACTGACCGATTTCGGAACGCATGGTCGTCTGCGCGAGTTGCGAAATAGCGTACTCTGCGTCCTCAACGCCGTAGCTATGATTGACGATGAATTAGCGATTGCGTTGTTCCGACTGGTCCAATTCCACACAAAAACTAAGAACCACCATAAAACCACTCACCTTGCCTTGTACGCATCGAAAACCCGCGTGTATAACACCCCATCCAGCTCAAGGGTGACATTATCCGCCGTGATGGCATTCTGGCTGGGGATCTCAATAGCAGCCTCCTTCAAGCTCTTCACGTAGGCAATTCGGTCCAAAAATGGCACAAGGATCGCAAGACCGGGTTCCAGGATACGGTCGAACTTTCCCATGCGCTCGACGATCCATGCTGTCTGTTGTGGCACGAATCGCACAACGGTGTTCGCGGGGAGAGTTTGGCGGTTGGAGAAATAGCTGGTGGGTCCCTCGTTGTATGAACCACCCGATCTGAAGCTGTTGAAAAGAGACTCTGGGACGAGAGACCGTGGAGAATTTGACAGTGTCCGTCGCTGAGTCTGGGTGAAGGTGAAGGGAGTGGTGCTAACTGCAGAGGTTCGTGCGAGACGTTGGGGAAGGAGCTTCTGGCCACGGGGCCGAAATAGCCTTGACGTTTGGCGGGATGCGCCCTCCATTGTGATCAAGAAGTGGAGTTAACTGTAAGAAGAGTTACAGGGAAGGATGAACAGTGGATTAGATGTGCAGAACAGAGCTAGAGAGGGGAAAGGGAGCTGTTAGAGCCGGATCGGGACTGAATTGTCTCCGTTTGGTTCCCAGTTCACAAGCTCTGGCTGCCTGAGGCATGAACAATCGACCTCATTCCATCAGACTCGGCCGGCTTTATGGTACAGATTGTCATGATGTACTTTGTTTAAGGCAAATCTTACAGTCGTCATTCTCTTACAGAGCATGTTTAATGTCATAGCGTGCATAGTATGCATATCAATCATATTACTCCACAAAGGCCTGAGCAGCCTAGTTTTTGCAGATAACGCAGCAGACAAGACAAAAATTTTCTGTGCAGGAATCCCAGCAAGAAGGAAAAAAGCACGAAATGGATCGATCCACTTCAAAAAGTTCTGTCCAAATAAGAGCTGGGCAAACCGAATAGATGGTCTCCCAGGGAAGAAGATATCGGCAATGAAGATATGCTAGATTAATTTTCTCCGATTGGCACCATTGACAAAACTCGAAACACACAGATAACCTCAGACAGGACTTTTAGAGACATGCGCTTTTTTGTGGGTCATTGCCAAGCTGATACTTGTTAAGATTCAGAGCCGATGAGAGGCCTGGATCACAAATTGACTGTATCGATAAAGGGAAACCACAACCTCGGGGAGAACGGAAGAAAAGTAGTGGAGATATCTATGTCAACGGTAGAGAAAAAAACGAATTTGAGGCCCCGGCACACCGTAGTGGCAGGCATCGAAAGAAAGAGAGACTGCCAGTAAAATCATGCCCGGACGCCAGAACGTTTTGAGAATCTCCCGTAAGTGAAAAAGCAATGAAAATTAAAAAGAAAAAAAGAAAAATGGTGAGTAAACTCCGAAGCTTCGAGTTGACCGAGAAACCAGACCGCGTTATTGCAATGAAGGGGTCACTTGAAACTCTAAGGAGAAAAATTGGCGAATATGCATGCAAAAAAAAACCACTTTGGACAAAAAAAGAGCATTGCTGGTCATGAAAAATGAACAAGCAGTTTAAAAACGTGTCGCGAAAGAAGCAAAATTCAGAAAGAGATGTAAAAGGGCTCATGATAACTTTTCTCCCGCCAGCTCGCCGTATTGGGTATTGAAGTGTTTGCTGATTTTCCCCCGATTGTATGGTTTCATCTTTCCACTGGCAATTGTTTCATAAATCGTATTAGAGACGAGAGTGTGGTAGTCCAATGCTTGATGTTGCGAAAGATGGACCAGGTCGTACAGCACGAGGTCAGGAATGGGGCGACGGTGAACCAGACAGTTCCGGTAGAATTCCATGAGTTCTTTGAAACCGTTGTCAACGTGTCGAGTTAAAAGATCATCAAGGGCTAAACGCCTAAATTCATTGTACAAATGCGAATTGAAATTTTTAGTCAAGGTGAATGACCAAGATTCGTAGGGCTGGGTCATTCCAAAGCTATACCTTCTTGCAGTCGATCGGCCTCGGCCATCGAAGGTTTCTTTGCGAGACATGTTGATAGTTTTTGGGGCATAATTTGACGTTTCTGTGGACGAACGGCCCGTCCCCTTTGACTTGGGAGCCGATTGATGCGCTCCGGCAAAAGACTTGTTGGCCAACCAATCGGCGGGGCCGATTGGTTGACGAAGGTAATTTGCATCAAGGCTGTTATACAGTCAGTCAGACCCACAAAAGATAATTCTCATGCAAAAAGGTCAGCATACCTTGCCAGGGTCACCATCGGTTCCAAATCAGAGGGGAAAGGGGGTTCGGACTGCGAATCTAGTCCACGCGCTGAGGAAGAAGGGTCAACAAATGAATAGTCCACGGGGAAAGACGAAGACGACGAAAAGAAGGACGTTGTCGAGTCATCAGGGGAGGCTGGGGAGTTCCAGGGGTATCCTACATTGGCAATTTCGTTCACTGCAGTAGGTAGCAATGAGGGCATGAATTCCGGAGCGGTAGATGAAAGTGAAGTCTTGACATCATGAGCGACACCGTTGGGCACGAACTGACGAGCGGATCCGTTGATGACGTTCTCGGAGTGGCCGTGTGCCGCGATGTTTTCGTCGGTCTTTTTAGCAGGGGCAGCCCCGTCATGTTGAGCGGCAGGTTCACGCTGGTCCACAGGGAGGACCCATTGCTGCCACTTTTCTCTGGGGCGCAGGCGGTCAACGCCATCCTCACCAATTTGGCATTCAACATTGCGCAGTTGACGGGCCACGTGTCGAAGGAGTTCAAAGTCCTCAGTGAGGGACTTGACACGCTTGAAGCTGGCAAGTACGTTCAGAGGCACAAAGCCTTGAGAATCCATTTGCTTGCGAAGGAACATGTCCTTGCACATGTTGTCGACTGAGAAGTAGTACTCCAGTTGCATGGAGAGCATATTCATCAGCGAGAAAGGCTCCATGTATTGCTGCTGGTAGGGAACAGCGTTCATCGGGGCAGAGTTGACAGCCGGGTAGCCATACATCGTGTTGATATCACCTGGGAAAGGATAAACAACGCCGTACATGTTTGCGGGAGCGGGCAAAGAGGGCGATCGCAGGGGCATGCGATTTCCTTGCTGAGATCCATTGGGGAGGCCATGCTGTTGTGACCGCTGACGGTCGTTGAAGCCAAACGCCTTGGGTGAAGCGAATGAGTTGGCTGCATTGAACTGAGCGTTCTGGGCGCCGAAGTTGGAGTAAGCGCCACCACGGCCGCGGTTAGACCCACGACCTCCACGCTCAGAACGGAACTCTCCACGCTCGCGGTTGAGATCATTTAAACCAGTGGGGTCGGCCGACTTAGATCCGGCCTCAAAGCGACGATCGTTACTGCGGGCTGCAGCCTGCGAGTCAATAGCCAGGTTTCCACCCTTCTGGGTGCGATCACTTGCGCGGACATCCTGGTTTCTTCCAAAGGGCTTGCCCTCGCGTTGAGGGCGGGGGGCGTTCTCTCCGCCATTCACCTGCTTGGTGTGTTCCTCTCCGTTGCGAGCTCCACGGCCGCGCTCAGTTGCCTGGGAAGGCTTGCGTGCATCAGCTGCAGCACCAGCGTCGATGCTTGTGGAACGTCTTGACTGGGCGGGAAGAGAAGTAGCACGTCCAGATCCAGCCTCGTGGCGCCCCCGGTCTCCAGATGCCTGCTTTGCGCCTTGGGCGGCCTGTCCCGTGGCAGCTTTGTCAGTGGCGGCCTTGTCAAGGGCAGCGGCTCCATTGGCGTGAGCTCCGCGGCCACTATCCCGGCCACCACGAGTGGCCCGTCTACCTCCACGGCCACCGGCAGATGGGAGCGGGGTGTTGAAAACAGCAGTGGGGACGTAAGGAACGGGTGTCCACTTTTCCTTTCCATGGGGTCTGATGACGGGGCTCTTCTCGGTCTTTTCGAGAGATTTCTTCTTCTCTTCGCCAATCGCAACTTGGGGAGTTGGCCAGGCAGAAACGTCTTCTACTGGGGGAACTGATCCGGTATCGCGTCCTTTTCCGCTGTCGGTCTTCTTGCGATCCTTGGCACCTTCCTGTGCACCATCGGCACCCTTCTTCTTAGAGCCGGCCTTGGAGTCTTGTTGGGTCTCATCAACAGTCGAGGCATCTTTGGTGGAGGCAGCTTTGCTAGTGGAAGTGGACTTGGGGATAGCCTTGACCTTGGCGTCCTGAGCCTCTCTCCTCTGTTGCCAAATGTTGACTGAAGGAAGAGGAGCAGCCTTCAGCTCCTTGGGTGGGGATGCGGTTTTCTCGGAATCCTCGGACTTTTCAGTGGACTTCTCTGCGACACCTTCGGCCTTCTCGGTCTGTCCCTCACTGGGAGCCTGCTTCTCAGCGGTGGCATCTGCGTTACCGTTGGAGGTTTTTGAGTCGTCCTCCTTTGTTTTGCGCGACTTTGAGCCTGTGCGAACGCTCGGGCTTGATGTTCGAGAGTTGATAGCCTTTGTCTTAGCGGCATGCTTGCTGGTGACAGTGGTAAAATCATCATCCTTGTTCTCCTCTGTGACTACCTCGGATTTTTGGACGGGCTCGGACTCAGTGGAGACTGGTACGTCATCCTTTGTAGTCTCAACGATGGTCTGCTCCTCCGGTTTGGAGTCAGTCTTCTCGGATTCTGATGGTGTCTTGGACGGGGTCGGTGTCCCGGAGACGCCCTTGGCGGCTTGTGCGTACGAAAACGTAGACATGTCGGAAGAGTTTATCGTAGCTCTGATCAAGGGTAGAAAAGATATTTGAGATGCGGGTTATTTTACCGGACGACCTTGGGTAACGCTGGGTCTCAGTCTACGCCTACTGGGGGCGAGATGGTACCTGCGCAAAGTGGAAATCAAGAAAAGGGAAAGATTTCAGCTTCTTGTGACCTCACTAATCTGTAGCTTCCCGTCTTTTCAGAGAGGCTGTCAGTTGTGTGTCGAAAAGGTCGATTTCGTGCGTAAACAAGACGAAGGACCACGGGTGGTATTGGGTCGCAAAAGCGCAATCGAAGGAGTTGTGTCTGCTGGGAGGATCGTCTAGACCACAAATCGCATAGATAAATGGGCCGTCGATTTCTCGGTATGGATGGGGTGATCTCAACAGCCGTGACTTGTGAGCACACTGATTGTCAGAAAACAAAGAGGAAGGTGTGTAAGGGAAAAAAAATCCCGCCGAGGACGCAACGTAGGCACCGCCTTGTCAACGTCGCCAGGCTAAAAAAGGGTTGGAAAGACTCAGTCGCTGAGTAGGTACAAGTCGGATTCACAGGAACGCTGTGTGATTCCTGTCAAAATTCGATTCTTGACAAGAATGCGAAGCACAAGATCTATGGCCGATCCCTTGAAAAATGGACCGCGATTTCGTGTGATTTGAAGAGAAGCTCGGTTCTCTCTGAGACGGAGAGGTACCGAAGGGAAATAGGAAGTCGCGGAAGAAGGGAGAAAACAGCCCGGAGAAATGTAGGAGAGAAGAGAGAGAAGACACAAAATTATTTGGTTCAGGGCAGAACTGGTAGCGGGGTTTTTTCTTTACAGGTAATTAATCGGATGGGCACAATTTGTGTTTTTTGTACTGGGGGGGGGGTTTTTTGTGGAATTTCGCACAAGGGTTTTCTTATGGAAAAAAAAAATTATGCTTCTTTTTGGTCTGGTTTGATTTTTTTAATTTTAAATTTCGATCTTTTCTGTTTGTTTTTTTTTAAAAAAATCATCTTTTACTGTTAATTCAAGTCAGGATTGTCTTGTCTAGGGTTCCCTAGGTCAATCCATATATAATCGGGCATCTCGGAGGTGAGTCGGTACTAGCCGATTGAAGCATATATTCCCCCATACAACACAGTACATATGTACTTGTGACGCATTGTAGAAGGAACACACTATGATACCCTAGAATCCCCTGTCTTATACGATGTCCACTTCTGGGTCTTTGCTTTGCCGAGGTCAACAGTCTCGGCAGTCAAGTCCTTTTTATACATGGTCGATGAAACCATAGGGGCGACAAAGAACCAGATTAATGTCATGGAATTGAGCCGCATATTTCTCTAAAAGGCACTGGCCCAATAACAATCACAGCTCAGGCAACCCGTGATTAAAATAGCTGTCGAAGTGGCGATACTTCAGGGTTCTGAGATCTCAAGCAACCAATGTCCAGCCAATTGGACAACACTCGGACGATCTAGTTCTACCTAGGTAGACCTTCAATCAAAGCCCATAGACTTTATAAAGTGAGCTTCAATTGAAGTACTAGCAATAGATCTTTCATAGAATACAACAGACTACCGCTACTAAAATTCAGTTCATCAATTTGGAGAATCCATCCAGCTTGCAAGGTACACACTTAAAAAGATCGCGAGGGTCCACACCCTCCGGCCAATGGCGCACACCAGAAATATCTGACGTGGGAAGAGTCAAGGTTTTCTTTTGAATGACAACTACTTTCTGATATGAAAAAATTATAGCATGGGGATTATTACCGCCGGAGATCGTCAGCTTTTATATATACCCATCTACTCCGTACAACCATTGAAGATTCAGCCCATTGGACCGTTGTTCGGATATACGGGCGATGGAATCCTAGACGTAATACATACCAATACATTTGAAGGAAGTGAGGGATTACATTTCATATTACATAGTACCCTGCGAGAAAGGAAAATTACCTGGGCCATGCTGATCATTGTGCGAAAAGAATGTGATATCATTACGTGCTCTGGAACACGTGAACTGCCCAACTCGTTCTCCGTACACACCAACCTGTCACTCTTTGATCTTCGATCGATATATGGGGTTGAAATTGAAGATCTAGACTATAAGTGCTCAAGCACAAACTATCCCATTTCCCCTTCACTAATTTAATCCATCTTGAAACAGTGTGCTTTCGGCAGTGATTAGGGCTGAGGGCACGCGGAAACCATCGGAATCAGCAGAGTGGGTATGTAAATCCTAATACGCGGGCCGTATTTCTCTGAAATTGACGGGTTTCCGGTGTCCGTGATCTATGCCAGCGGGATTTGATTGAAGATATGGACAGAACCCGAGATCTAGTTAGATGTTGTGTGTAAATAAGGGATGCCATTGTCCTGCTAGAGAAAACTCCATGTTCCAAATTCCCGTACCAACACAACTACCAATGCCGAACACTAACCAACACTTTCTCACGCGCATCGAGATCCATCGCGCCCAGTGGGCCCGTCACCACACCCAGGCGCATGAGGACCTGCCAGACGAGCTTGCGCTTGAGACTCTCGCGCACGCATATCTTCTCCATAGCATCGAAGCCATTGAAGTACTTGAGGAAGATAGGCCAGTACTTCTTGTGTAGAGCCAGGCTATCGTTAGGCGTGATGTCCGGGCTGGCGTTTTCGTCTTCCTGGCTGGTTCTCGGGTCGTCGGGAAATCGGGAGAAAATTTCGTCAAGCCAGCGGGACTCGAGTGGAGATGCGCGGTGCGGGGAAAGGATGAAAGATGACAGTCGGAGAGCTGTTGATTGATCGAGGAGTTTGTGGGAAGAGCGCAGTTGCGCATGTGCGTCGAGTCGACTGGGCGTAGGTGTTTCATCCCCGCTACCGTGGCTGTCGAGGGAAGAGGACGAGGAAGAGTGCGCGTCGTCATTTCCATCGTCAGAGTCGCTGTCCTCGTCGACGAGGATCGAGTATGAGTTGCCCTTAGACAGGTATCGCTCGACTTCCTCCTTGCGCAGGGCCATCTCCACGGCCATTTTGACCTCGGGTGACACTTTGATGCGCGCGAAAGTGCGGAGCTGCGTGACCCAGCCGCCACGTAGTAGCCAGGCCAGGATAGTAAAGTATATCTCCTTATGGTCTTTGCTCGGAATGAAGTTGCTATAAGGGCGAGGGGTGCCGCTGAGAGTGGAAAGCATTTTTGGCAAACTAGGGTACGTTGGGAATGCTGCCTGATAAGCGATCGTGGCTATTTCCAGCTTGCTCAAGTCACAGTTTGGAGAGACGATGTATGTATCTCGTTGGTGGATGGGAGGGATAGCGCGAGCACGACGCCAGTATACAAGATGGCTCGACAACATCTGGATGTGGGAAAGTGGGATTCCTGATGATGCTGATATCTGCGCAAATGACTTGGTTGGCTTGGAGCATCGGATATAATGTGCAAGTGCGGGGGCAAGCGCTCCCCCAGACGCTTCAATATCCTTGATAATGGTGGCTTCGCTGTCTAACAGAAGCAGAGCAAAGTGCTTTGCCGGGACCTGATGTGGCGTGGTGCTTTCATCTGCACTCGGATCGTCGACAGGGGTCGCACTATCTGCTGTCGTGAGCCACAAGCCCGGGTATGCCTTGTCCATGGGCCCAGTAAGGTATGATGTAGAGGTCAAAGGTGGAATCTGGAGAGAGATAGAAACATCCGGGCTGAGCGATACGGATGCGATTTTGGACGCAGATATGCTGCTGTAGACTGTGTAGATAGCCCGAGCTAGAGAAGACTGGGATATCAATTCAGCGTAAAGATTATGGGTCGATGTTTCTGCCGAGGATCAATGTCAGCCTCAGCGGGATAGCTATTAGCAGGAAACGTACTAGTCTCTCGTGCTCTTCTCCTCACTTGTAGAATATGTTGAGACTCCTTCCACACATAGTCAGTGCGAGCCTGTTCCCATTTAAGAGCTTTGGCGAATTTCTTGATGATATTATCGTAGATTTCCTTCACACGCATGGAGTACTCCAGTAGAGGAGGATCCACAACAAAGACAACATTGAACATAGTCATGTGGTCTTTGTCCTCTGGGTCGAGCGGCTCGTCTGGTTTCCCAGGCCATCCGCTGGCCGACCCACGCTTACTGTCTGTCGGCGATGTCAATGACTCTGCGATAGAAGCAACACTAGCTCCTAAATCAGGCGAAGTAACAAATTGCTCGTCCTTCTTGCCCTCCTCGGCACTATCATTGTGACCTAACTCCCCACCGTCCCAGTCAGCACGAGGTTTCTTCTGCTTCTTGCGTCGTTGCTTGCGCCACGAGCCATCGTCGCGCACAAAGACCGGCCAACCCACAAGCGCCAAATCATTGATCCCAACCTCAAACCGCCGCTTATGCCATGACCGAGATGGGCTAAGCAGCTTCTCCCACACACTCCCAGGCACGCCCAAAAGCGACTCCCAAGGCGGCCTAGAGCTCCCAGGACAATCATCGGGCCGATCAGACGCCGTCCCCGCATCATCGTCAGGATCCGGATCGATGCCCGCAGCCCGTTTCCGAGTCGACGAGCCGCGCCCGGAGCTTAGCGATCCAGGGCGCTGGGACTCACCAGCAACAGGCGATGAAGCGGCGGGGAGATGGTCATCGAGGCCGAAGTTGCTAAAGCGGCGGCCCGCCAGCACGGAACTCCCACCAGCATGGCTCTGAGTTTCCCGTTCTTCCTCGTCTTCGTCGGTGCTCGAGTTGCTCTCAGAGCTCGAACTTGAATCGGTATTCTTGGAACGTGTGCGGGTGCGCGAGACGCGCCGGCCGCCCTTGATGGTGGTTTTGATGCGACTCTCGCTTAGCGGGTTAGGGGGGTAGTGGAAGACGAGACGTGGGCCGGTGCGAGAGCGCACTATGAGGATAATCGCCACGAGGCACGGGTCTGGTGGCCGGGCGATCGATGACATTTGGCGGCTTGGGACTCCGTGGAGGAGTTGGAGACTTTTAAGTGTGGCCGAGCGGAAACGAACTCACATGCGGGGAACTGCACAAGTTGAGAGATAACAAATATCACCATGGTTAAGATGGGTTTCTATTTGCGAATTTCGATGCAAATTCACTTACACTAATCCTGTTTACTTATTTTTTGTGTCGAATAGGTGCCAAATACATTTTCTTATGTGGAACGCCTTGAATAATGCCAGCACTGCCCGATCACGGACTAGCGCCACTCTTCCGTATCATACAATATCATTCAATGTCTCGCTGTCGCATATCAGCTCTTCTGTTCTGGATTGGTTTTGCCTGTAACTGGTGTAGCTGAAGTCTGTCCTTTCCCTTCGCTATCTTTGAACACCAACCCGAGGTTCTCGAAGTTATCCGGGGCCATGAGGTTCCTAATGACAAGTTGTTTCGATCAGAATTTAGCTTCGACTTTCATCGCAAATAAAGCCCATCCTCCAATGGCAATGACTGGTGTCTCTGTGTGTTGGGCTGACTTACTTGTCCATTCGGCAGGCAAGGTATTCCTTGGCCAACTTGCGACACGCTTCGTCGTTGGTACCTTTGTTCATCTTAATGCACTTCAAATATCCCGAGATAACGTGTTTGCATTCTCCTGCAGTAACCCAAATTGTGATTAGCTCAATTGTTTTTGCTGGTCTTGCCGTCTTTCTTCGGGACCTGGGCTGTGCGGCTGCGGGCTAGTATACCTTCGTGATCAAGAGGAAAACTACCACGTTCGGGTCTGTCGATAATTTCAATGCGTCAGCATTATTCATAACAAGCGGTCTAATCTCGTTGATTTCAGTGTGTCGCAGGTGCAAATATGCACACTTGGAATAATCCAACTCACGGTGATGGCTTGTAGTTTACCGATGCACCGCCGGGGGCTCCGAAACTCATTTTCAGAAGTTTTAAGCGTAGACTCGCTCTAGATATGAACACAACAAGCTTCTGCTTTGGTGCTGACGAGAAAGTCGCTCAGCAAGGTGAGTATCAGTCGGCGAAAGCGAATCCAAACCTCCGATAGACAAACAGGACAAACCCGACAAACAGCTGCTCAGCCAATCACAGCTGCGGGGCACGGTCGATGATGCATGAAAAATAATCCGGCGTTTATAGAATAGGACTCGGGGCATTTGGATGTAGGCTTACTGATAGAAAATAAATTGGGTGGGGTAAGACAGGTCGTTGGAATGTATGAAATTTTTGCGGTTTGCTCGTTTTGAAGGGTTTGTTCTCGGATTTGCCCCTCTTTGTGGTGGAAGTAAATATATCAAGGATCATCTCGATAAATCACAAATTCCAACCAAACAAATCTACAACGCTTGGATTGTACCCTTACAGGTCACCGACTAAACAAATCACCGACTAAACAAACAGGCACACCAAATCATGCCTATGCACGTGAAACTCCATTAACACAGCCTTGCATCCCCGGCACAAGCATACTAACCGAGTTTATAGGGATCTCAAAGGAAGCTGCCAATGCGGCGGCGTCGAATTTGCTCTCCAGTCCCAAACACCAGTTCCATATCAGCTATGCGCTTGCAGCATCTGCCGTAAAGTAGGCGGACATCTCGGTGCTGTGAACCTCGGCGGCATCGCTGATAGCTTGAAGATCATCAAGGGCAAAGATCTGATCAAGTACGACCCATCCGCCTTCGAGCACATGATCCACCGAGAAACCGTCATTTATACACTTGAATAACATGCAAATGATATTCCTTTGCACATACTAACTCAATGACCAGGAAATACTCTGCCATCAAAGACCGCGGCACACCGGATGAAAAGCTTTGCTCCTCCGAGCGGAACTTTTGCTCGAATTGTAGTACCATGCTGTGGCTTTGGGACCACCACTGGCCTAAATTAGTTCATCCATTTGCCTCCGCAATCGATACGGAGTTACCAGTGCCCGATGAGATGGTGTGTATCATGGATGGATCGAAGCCTGCGTGGGCGCGGTGGCCGGAGGGAAATAAGAGTGTGCACGAGGAGTATGGCCAAGACAGTCTGGAAGGATGGCACAAGAAGCATGGGCTGTTTGTTGAGTAGGGAAATGTCACTGGGCATAAGAGGCGAGGCGTCAAGAGGCGTTGGAATGGAATACAGGCAAGGAGTTACGGAACAGCTGAGAGAAAAACAGTCAAGCCTGAAGTTACGAATGGTTAAATGTGCAAGAAAAAATGTATTAAGCTATTAAAAAATTGACCCTTAGCTCCTGTGATGCACATTAGCAATTGATCAAATCACAAGATGAGTGAAATGGTGGCAGTCAAGGAAAAGATCAGTTCTCCAAGGTGAAAATATTTTATCGACATGATAGTTCAGAGATAGAACAGTATGTTGGGGTTCATCATGCAATGAGATTGGAAATTTGAGAAGAGCACACTTACGGTCAACGAGCCAAAGGGTCCTGCCTCTGGGTATTCCTATTTGTTTTCTTTTGTCGAGTCAGCGATAGCAATTCAAGCAAAAAGCACGAGTCAAAAGCAAAATCAAGACATGGCAACTAAGTCAGGCTGCAAGTCAGTCAGCATGAAACACGACTAATTTGATCGATAGGGGACACATACCTCATTAAATCAGAATTTTGTATTGATGTTCATTCCCGGACACGAGGTCCAAGTCCAACAGTGTGAATAACACAATCATCATGATAGGTATGACCATGTTGAGAAAGGGCAGAGAGAGATGAGTTTCGAATTACCTAGAGTTTTTGTTAGAAATGCTGGTCTCAACTTGTCAATGCGACATGATTTGATGTAGACAAGGGAATTGGTTCAGGTGACGAATTCTCAACAAGTAATCCACTTCCCATACAACCACAGAGTTTGTACGCTCTGGTTTTGTTGGATGAAGGGAAATGGGTACGTTATGTCCGCCCGTTCGTTCAAGATTTCTTCATGCTAGGCAACAGCCGCAATGGATGGAAGGGAGTGAATCCAAATGTTATTTACCTGAGCGAGAAATTGTCAGTCAAAAATCGCTTAATGTAGGGCTTGCAAAAGTAACAATGTTGTTGTGATGGGTCAGACAAGGCTGAAACTTAAAAGTATGACAGATTCAACATGGATCTTCTGATTGAGGAATGCCTTTGCATGTCTAAAATATAATCATCCCCGGGGGTTTGGGGTTAAGAAAAAAAAATTCCCTACCTTTTAGAGGGAAAAAAAAGAATTAAGAGCATTGGTCGCAGTACTGGGGGTGAGCCTCAGGCGGCGAGCTCAGCTGGGGTGTGTGCCATAATTGGACACAGTCCAAGCCGAACAAAGAACAAAAGAATTGAAAGAAGAGCTGGAGAATTCCGAGCGATGCAGAAGGAAAGAAAAAAATTTGCGGGTGGAGCTCACTTTATAAACCAGAAGCGGTAAGCTACGGTAGACGCGTACAACATTTGGCGTTGTTTGTCTTGGCATCAAACATCGGCGAAACAACTGGGCCGGGAATTGGATTGGGTGTGGTGAAGGGAACCATACTTGCATATGGAATAGCCAGTCCTCACTAACAAAGAAGGTACAGTTAGAGATACATCAGTGTAGCAATAAGTACCGCTGCGATGGTGGGGATGGCATGGTCTCCTTGGTAATGTTTCTACTGAGAGCCTTCCATGCCTCGTCATGCAAGTACGGTGGGTCTCATAGCCAATTCGGCCTTTATTGACTGGTATCGCGAATGCCTGTAGGATCTGAAGAGCTCGGGTCCCAAGTATTGAGTAACCGTAAAACATTGCTGGGATAGGACACCTTGTTTATGATTTGAACATACAAAGGACAGGGCCATTGCTGGATGCGGAAACTCCCAGCATGCAAGTTGTAGGCACACAAAAGAGGGGATTCGACGAACGTGTTCCTAGAGTGCTTGAGCGTGGCGTGTATTACCCAATAAGGAAGTTTCAAAAGCAATTTCAATGGCAAGATCCGGTGGCGTGGTCGTCAAGAACACGAGATAACTGTCAGCATGATTTGTGATGAAAATACCAATTTTCGGCGAAGACTGTTGATTTCGAGCTTCTCCCTGGAGCTGGCAGGAGAAAGGGCATCGCGTGAAAAATCGACCAGCACCCACGGCCATAATTTTCTCACAGTCAAGTCACGGGCAGCTCATTGATATTATAGACAGAAAAAAGCTAGCGTGGGTTATTTAAACTTGATGACCGAAGACACAAACTCCTATTGACAAATGTTCATGGTAGGCCTTGTATATTATGAGACACCAAATATGTCATTTGCTCGTCATCGCATTCGTCACCTTGATGCGTCTTTCGTAGTCGTGCTTTGGACTGTTCACTGACTTCAAGCTGGAGATGCTAACAGCACGCTGTCAAAATATTGGTGACATCAATCCATCAAAGATGTGCACGAAATTTAAGTTGAACACCGGAGCAGAGATCCCAGCCATTGGATTTGGCACCTGGCAGGATGCGAGTGAGCAGGAAGATGCCGTGGCAGAAGCAATCAAGGCAGGGTATCGTCACATCGACACCGCACGCGCGTAAGTAGCTTTACTTCCTCACCGACAAGAGCGACAAGCTTAATGTACAGCACTGAAAGAACACTAGGTACGGAACTGAGAAGGCTGTTGGGAAAGGCGTGAAGAAAAGCGGCATTCCCCGCGAAGATATCTTCATCACAACCAAGCTATGGAACAACAAGCACCACCCGGACGACGTAGCATCGGCTCTGCAGCAATCACTAGACGATCTGGGAATGGACTACGTTGATCTGTTCCTGATGCACTGGCCCGTCGCCTGGAAACGAGGCGAGGAACAATTTCCGATGAAGGATGGGAAGCCGGTCATGGAGAATATCGACATTGTCGACGTATGTTGCAGTCTCATCTCTTGATCCGTAAGCTCAAGCACGCTGACACCAACGCAGACGTACAAAGCAATGGAACAGCTTCTGAGAACTGGCAAGGTGAGGGCGATTGGCGTCTCGAACTGCGACAAGTCTGAGGTGGAGCGCTTGATCAAGAACACTTCCACTGTTCCCGCTGTGCACCAGATGGAGTGTCATCCGTGGTTGCAGCAGCGTGATTTCACAAAGTGGCATCGGGGGAATGGTATACATGTCACGCACTACTCGCCGTTTGGTAACCAGAACGCTCTATATGGTGAAAAGGCCGGGCCCGCGAAGCTGATCGACGAGCCCGTGTTGACGAAGATAGGCGAGTTATACAACAAAAATGCCGCCCAGGTTGCTCTTGGTAAGTGTAATCAGCCTGAATTTAGTTTGTATGATGCTGACTGCAGTGTGATTTGGACAGCTTGGGGTGTATCGCAGGGCCACTCAGTGCTACCGAAGTCTAAAACACCTCTGAGAATCAGGGCCAATCTGGAAGGAGACTTCAAGTTGAGCCCAGAGGACATGACGAATATTGAGAAAATCAACAAGAAGATTCGTTTCAACGATAGCAGTGGGGAGTTTGGCAGGGACTTCTTCAGTGGCCTGGAGGGGAAGTCTTGAGGTCAAATGATTTTGTTTAGGGGAATTCGGAGATATGAATTCAATTTCAGAAATTTAAATCAACATCACTGCCCATTGACACGTTGACTTTTCCGATTTGCATTGAAGTACCTGGGAGATCGGATCGGAGCTTAAGCCGATGGACGTGACATGCTTTGTGACGTCACATGCAGGGCGAACATCTGCAACTCTCTGCCGCAATTACTTTTGCCATCCACCACTAGTTGGAAAACAACATATACTGGCCCATTAAATGAGCAATGCTGTCAGCAGCTCATGGGTTTGCATTAGTAACCCCTGCCTCGCGAGGACTGGGGTTCGCCTTCGTACAGCAGCTCCTGACCCGGACCGAGCTCCCTGTGATTGCAACAGCCCGCAAGAACTGCGATGAGCTCCAAGAACAATTGCTGTTAAGTAAGGGCATGCCCAAAGACGCAGAGCAAAGACTCTGTATTTTCCAAGTTGATGTAACAGGTAAAAAAAGGCAATTCAATTCCAGGAAATACATCCCTCTCGGCACTACTAGGCTAACCGACTCCCTAGATGAGTCCACGATATCGGCAATGGCAGACGCAATCCGCCGGAAATATCCGAGCACACCACTTAGGCTGGGACTGACGATCCCCGGCATTTTGCATGCGGAAAGATCACCCAGTAAAATCGACGCTGCCAGTGCGCTGGAGAGCTTCAAAGTCAACTCCCTCGGCCCGTTGTTACTCATGAAGCACCTCTCTCCATTCCTCCCATTAAAATCCTCACCAGAATTCTCGACAACAGAGTCCAGCTCTGCAATAGACTTCCAAGGACCGCTGTGGTTGCCCTCGCATGCCATATATGCAATGATGGCCGCTCGAGTCGGCTCAACATCCGACAATGCCTCGGGCGGGTGGTATTCCTATCGTGCAAGTAAGGCAGCTGTATTTCAATTAGCGAAGACTTTTGATTTGCATTTGCGCGCGAAGAGTGCCCAGAGAGCAATTTCTGTGGCGCTGCACCCTGGGACTGTACACACAGATTTTACAAAAGATTACTGGGGAACGAGGGAAATGCTGGAGCCGGTTGACGCAGCCGATAAGCTGTTGGAGGTACTTGTGGGGTTGTCACCAGACACCAAAGGAGGGAGAGGGAGGTGTTGGGATTGGATGGGGAAGGAGGTTTTCCCGTGAGCTGTTCAAGTCCACAGGTGGTGGTTCATGCGACCAAGATGGTACTTTGTACTAGAGCAAGTGTTTCTTATTTGAAGGTGGAATAATGCTGATTTTGTCTTGAATTGGCCTGTGACAGTGGAGGCTCTGTCCAACTCAGAACTTGCAAATCCTCGTCACAAGTTGTGTTCGCTTTCTTCCCTGTAAAGCTCCCGGAGTTGCAGTGATGTGGTCCTTTCTGGGCGCACCAAAAACCACACAGATTACTCTGAGCGGACACTGCAAGCTACAAACTCTATATTGGAAGTTGCGGGCCTAAGAAAATAGGAGAAAAAGAAGGATGACATTGAAACCCAATGAACTGAAAGCAATATCCTTGGTTGATTACTAGACTTTACATCTCTTCATAATGCAGTCCAAGACCTGGCGAGCCAAGACACATCGAGGATTGTGATCCAGCTTTTGTGTGGACCTTGTGGTCGGATGTCGACAGATATCAGGGAAAAGAAAAAAGCATCAACACAACGTCATGTTTGACAGGACAGCAGGGAGAAAGGGGTAAGGACATGCCGTTTGAGTGGGGGGATGATTAGGTAACACATGCACGTGAGCCTTGGAGCGCGTCCACGGAAAAACATAAATTTCCTCCCAATCCCCTCCCCTTTTCCTTCTTCAGAGTTCTCTCAACTGTGTCTGCTTGGCCTTGTCCATCAAGTAGCGGGTCCTTAAGTTTCCCCGTCGGCTCTTTGCATTTGCACAGTGAAAAAGTTTTCTCACCCATACCATCTCATTGAACGGCCGTGCTGTTCGTTGGCATGAGATGCTCATCAATAGGTGCTTTGATCACTTGTCCTGTCCTCCGACTGAGCCTCGCTGGAATATCTGCCGGTGCAAGTCTCTTGGTGATTTCGCTGGTCTTGTGATAAGTGAAATAGATTGTCTCGTTGTCGTCACTGTTAACAATCAATCAGCGAAGGAAGGCGGGCTCATTGAATCCGTCTCTTTGCTGGAAAATATTGATCTCGGGAACAGTCTCAAGTCTCATTAAAGATGCGCGCCGAGAGAACCTCACAAAAAGCTTCTGGTTGCTCGAGATCCTCGAGGCGTCGCGTCAATGATAGGATCCTAGACTTCTCTTGTGGGGTTGGTGCCTATGCGAGTTTTACGTCTGACTTAAAATGCCTCAAAGTATTCCCTTATTGGCTCTTATTGCGACGTCCTGGCAGCACGCCTTGGGAAAGCCAGTGTGGACGATAACTTCAGATGCAGCGTGCTTGGGAAGGAAGTTGGATGCAGTTTCTAAGATCTCTTCACGGGACTTCAAAGTGCCCAGATTCGTCTAGGGCATAAAGTTGCTATCTCTGATGACCCGAGCATCGTTTTGAGAACATGGAATAGGCCAAGGGTGAAACCAGCGTCTCATTTCAAGCTAAAATTTCATCAAAGTTGATGCTAACGGATTTCTGATTGTGAGGCCATCGCGACGAATTTCTCAGTCTTTGATTGGCAAATCCTGCTGTCCTCCTCGAGAGGACATCGGGATTTCCAGTCAGTACTGTATGGTTGAATGTATGGGGAGAATCAGTTCCTGTCCTGGTTCAAACCTGCTGACATTTACAGAGGATGTTTCTTGTAGGGGTCGCAACTTTCGGGTGAGTGAGGTAGTGACGTCTCCTGGGGATGGGGAGAGGGGGTTCAATCCCTGGGCTCTCCCAGGCAGATTTCTTTGGATTGAGGTCATGGCTGCTTTCTGGATGGTGAATCACTTTTAATCTCACCTCGGTGACGACCTTGGTGATTGTTCGAACCTGTAGTTTTATGGCCTCTTCAGCGTCCGTTGAGAACCATCTAGCTGGTTTTCGATGTACGCTGAAGGGGTCATAGAACTGGAGCTCCGAAGGCCATCAGGTCCCAGCGAGACAGAAGATGATTGGTTCGGTGTTCCAATTATTTTAAAAAGAACTGATCATGTCTCTCGTTCTTAGACTGGTTACAATACATTCAAAAATTTCTCCACTGAGATCATTCTGCTCAAGGTAGTAGTAGCCTTTGCTGTTGAGCTTGACTGCGACAATACACGATCCAAGTACTGCCTGCACATGTCATTTCATATTTCTGGATGTTCAAGCCACCTAAAAGTGGCCTTTGACGTTGCAATTTCGCGTTACGCATGGAGAAGACGAACAGACAGCGAACCAAAAAGACAAGGAAAATCGCGAGGGAGATGCTACCAACGCGAATCATTTCCAAAATTCACTGTCCATTGATCATGATCGTATTTGTAGTCAATCACAGGTCTTACGCAGAAACGGCACGTCAATTCTCACTGGTCTCGTCCAAAAAAGACGGTCTATATAATGCAATGCAAGCCAACCATGAGCCGGTCAACAATCGGTGTATCTAAATCTAATCAAAAATGCAAGCTTTCATTGAGTTGGGCTGAATGTACTCGGACGCATTGCGGAAGCTAGTGAAACCCCAGCGGATTTGTCCAGCCATGGCAATCTCAACATCCAGGTCCTTGGCAAACTTCCAGGCAAGACCGGGATCGCGCTGGAAGGCACGACCAACAAGAATGACATCAATGTCATCCTCGTTCAGAATCTTCTCTCCCAAGTTTCCGTCGTTGATCATACCAACGGCAGCAACAAGAAGTTTATCTCCAACGGCCTTCTTGACAGCAGCAGCATGAGGAACCTGGAAAGCAGGACCGGAGGCAACCTTCTGAGCAACGTGCACACCACCGGTACTGATATCGATAAGATCGATAGCACCCTGCGCAGCCAGCGCACGAGCGAACTCAACCGTGTCTTCAAGCTTCCAGCCCTTCTCATCCGGCAAGCTGGTCTCAAGCCAGTCGGTAGCCGACACACGCAGGAAGACGGGCACATTGTCACCGACAGTGTCACGAGTCAACTGAGCAATTTCCAAGGACAAACGAATGCGGTTCTCGAAGCTGCCACCGTAGTTATCGGTGCGCTGGTTGGAGGAGGGGCTAAGGAAGGAAGAAAGCAGGTAACCGTGAGCGTTGTGGATCTCAATGAAATCACAGCCAGCAGCAATGGCACGCTTAACAGCAGCAACCCAGGCAGTCTTGACCTCAGCAATATCGTCCTGGGTCATGGCAATAGGGATAGGATTGCCCTCAGCGAAGGGAATGGCGCTGGGAGCCTTGATGTTATCGGTCCAACCGCCAACAGAGTTATTCGCAACAACGCCTCCAAGCCAGGGCGCCACGGTGGAGGCCTTACGGCCGGCATGTCCGAGCTGGATACCGATTTTCTGGCCCTGGCTGTGCGCAAACTCAACGACCTGCTTAAGTGGCGCGATCTGCGAGTCCCTCCAGAGGCCCACGCAGCCGGGGGTAATGCGGCCCTCGGGGACAACACTGGTTGCTTCGATGATAATATGTCCGGGTCCGCGCTGGGCAATAGCGCCGTAATGCGCCATGTGCCAAGGAGTCATGTGGCCATCGTCGGCACTGTATTGGCACATGGGCGCCATCTGGAGAGTTATCATTAGTTGTGTGATCATACAAGGAATTGGGATTGGCACCGGGAGGGGGGAGATTGCTTACACCCAGGCGATTTTGGAACGTCAATCCTCTAATGGTAAGAGGCTTGAAGAGCTTGGGAATGGGCTTTCCGCTCGTTTGGGGATTGCGAGCTGTGCCTGCCGGGGGGCTCTGGGCAGGGGTGTAGTATGAGATGCCCTCGGCAGGCTTGGCGGAGACGTCAGGCCAGGTCATTTTGATGGGGTTCAAGTATGAATATAATTATGTGCGTGAATGTTATTACCATCTCGCAGGAGTGGCTCGATTTATGTAGTAATCTACAGTGGGGAAGTTGAGGGTTGATTTATCATCGAAATTTCCGAATACTCATTACTACCTGATTCTGGAGGCGACTAAATCATAAGATGTCGTTCTGCCTGAAAAACATTCCCACTTATGACCACGTAGGGTTCATTACTCAGGGCATAGAGCGAAACTGCCCTGTTAAAAATGTCAAAAGTCGCCGATTGATCTCCACCCGGTTGAATTAGAACCCGATCTCTGGATCCACTCTCGGCATTGGAGAAATGATTATGTAATGTCCCCGACAGCCTTGGAGTACAAATCATGAAATGGTTGTCTTTCTCCTGATTGGCTGAGACTTCTGCCTGACTATATAAGCCGTCTTGGCAAGTCCCCAGAGCTGGAGCCCGAACAAGAGTGACAATGCCCAAGGCTTACACGATGTTCATTGGATGAGGATACTTAAAAGAACATTGACTGGGCGGGGGGCTCTTTATGACCCTCCACCGTATCGCCTTAACATGACCACCTTCGACAACGGAAATTTCAAGGTTTTGGAAATTGAACTCTATGAAACCTTATTTCCAATGCCCGAGATCGTGGACAACGCGCATATCGAGTGTCCCGTACAGTCCTACGCCACATGGATGTTTCCCTTCATATATAACAAAGGGTACGATGAGTTTACCTTGACAATGGTTTTTTTTTGTAATACCACCATAGAAATTTGAATACCCTTGAAGGGGGGGACCTAACAATAGGTAAAAGTGTTCTTGGAGTTAAACCTAACCGCCATTGAGTTATCGAGCGGGATTATTCTTTTATAATCAGAAGCGTATTCTCGCAGGACCACTCATGCTGGTTGAGCAGATTAAACGCACGGCGACCCATCCAGACGGAGATCAGCGTCAGAAACATTCCCATGAATCTCGCCGACCGAAAGAACCGGGGTAGTTCCACGCTTTTGAAGAAGAAGATCTACCATTTCTTATACTAAAGAGGGCAGGGGGCTGATCCACGACAATTCATAGAGGGGATCCATTTCTAAAGAGATTCCTCTTCAGTATCGGTCAATTTATCATAGTTAGCGCGAGAAATCGCGCGGTGTTGTATACTATTCAGGCGGGTAGAAATGGTGGATCATAGGACGTTAAAACGGCGCGCCACTTCACAAATTGAAGAGATTTCTTGATTCTTGAAAGCCTGGATAGCTAGTACGATCCTACCCTCCTGCTCTATTGAATTTCGAGAGGATTGAGTACGAATTGGTGGTATGGTGGGTGGTTGAACTAACTAAGATCTAATTCATGGACGCGTTTTGGTTGGGGTGGCCAGCTCGCTTACCGAATACGTTAACTAACCCTATATAAATAGCGAGTGATTAGCACTACCCAATAGAAACCATGCGATCCTTATAGAATCTCATATTGTAACCTAGTATTCTGACAATATATCGTTCTAATAAATTTGAAAATGTTAGAAACATAGTCCGTGTTTTAATTCCTCCCAATCCACTGGTAGACATGAAGCTGTAGTCTAATGAAATTTGGATCTAGAAGTTCTACTTGAAGAATCGGTGCTTTTTTGGGATTTGGATTTTACTGGATGATTGCAAGAAAATTGATGTCTTCGAGAAATTTCTGTGCGCTGATATTCCTATATGGTGCCGTCATAGTACCGTCTTTATGTAGGTGGATGAACACCAGGCTATAGTCTCTCCACATAAGTGATCGTTAGAGCCATCACCTCTTAGAGACATGAACAAGATGTGAGTTAAATAAGGGTACAGGCGGAAATGCAACCGCCCTATGAGAGATGATTTTATAGAATCGAGATCAAAGTCAAGGACCAATATAGTAGATACATAGATTCAGAAGTGAAGCGGTGTTGAAGCGGTAGAAGCTTACATACGAAAAGCTAGGTATACCAATTATATCACACTTCGTTACCCGTTCATATAAGAGGAAAGTGAGAAAGTAAGGTGGTGAAAGGTGAGAACTAAAGTAGAGCACGCGCACCTCTTTCTCATCGCATCATTACATATGATGTAAAAGTTACCTTAAGTTTTTCTGTGACCAGCCTTCTTTCCGAATCAGAGAAAACTTTAGATTCATCCTAACCCTAGTGGTGTGTGATATCAATAGCAGTAATAAAGGCCACAATCGTTTTTGCTATAGGCAAGACTTATCCTAATCTTAATCACAAGGTAGATTGCTAATAGGGGAACGAAATTGGCATTACGCAAGAAAAGCGAGATATGATCTAGATCAACGAAAGAAAAAAATGGAAGGACCAAGGTATGCAGGGTGTATCAAAACACAAAGTTGGCACAAGGAATCACTTGCGGTTCCTAAACCAGGACACAATAGACTGTAACTGGTCTACTCAGCTTGACAAAACCAGCCTACACGAAATCAGGAGATGGGACTGACCGTGCAATGATAGGTCATATTCACAAGTAAAACTAAGAAACAGTTAAAAATCTGCTGCGACTATCTAGGCAGGGAACTTCCTGTCACAGCAGAACAGACAAAAGCCCCAAGACGAAGCCAAAAAGACCAAATCAACACAAACCAAATCGGAACCAACGAGGTCCTGGGGAGGGGACCATGGGTATATAGATAGAAACCCCCCCCCCAAAAAAAAGAAATTCAAAGAAAACCAAGAGAAAACAAGACCAAGCCCAAACCCAAACCCAAACCCAAACCCAAACCAAAACAATGACCAAAACAATGACCAAAACAAACCAGACCACAGTACTTTCTTCTGTACTGTTTGAGCAGCGAGGGAAGATCGGCCTGCGCGCGGAAAAAGATGAGCGGATTCACCATCCCGGCCAGTTTCAGGGTAGGTGGTGGAAACAAAGAAAACAGAGAGCAACAGGAAGATTTCTCCTCTCCTCTTAGACCTTTTTCTTGCCCTTGATGGCATTCTTGATGCCGGACAGGACGTCAAGCTCGGCGTCGGGCTGGTGGGGGAGGTGGAGGCCCCGCGGCGCCACAAACTCCACATGAGCCGTGGAGTTTGGCTTTTGAACGAGGGGTAGCTCCCCTGGTGGCAGCGTGGCCAACGTGCCGCTGCAAAGGACCGTCGGACGAGGAGGAGAGAGTTTCTTCTCCTTCTTGGGATTGGTGGTCTCGTCGACGGCTAGAGAGGCACCCTTGGTTAGTATGGGTAACACTTCCCACATGGGCTTCTTGAGTGACACACCCTTCTTGGCCCAGAACTGCAACCAAGTTCTCTTCTCCGCCTTCTTCGCCTCCTCCCTCTGCTGGAGGTACTCGCTGGTGACCACCATCTGGGGGTCCTTCAGCCGAGCTTGGCGGGCGAGGAGCCTATGCAAATATATATTAGAATGATGCAAACGGCAAGAGAGGCAAATCGGGCTATAAATACCGGGTAACCCAAATCACGGTCCCCAAAACCAAGGCCAGCGCAGCCAGCCCACAGGCACCAGCGATAAGTTGGCCTTTCCAGGCCATGGGATCAGGGCATTGCGCGGGGCAGACGAGAACGGTTCCGTTTGTAGCCATTTGGGCATGTGGTCAAACGGTATTGTTATGATTTACAGACCTACACTCTACGGGAGGTTGTTTACCTATATACATAGAGGCAGGTACGCACGGTTCTTCAGATCGCAGCTGTATTTTCGCTTAATTTAAAGTGATTATGACTAGGTTTGATCTCGCCCTTACTTCAAATCAATGGATCCTTTGATCCTCAGTTCAATTTTCACAATCCTTGGGCCAACAAACAACAACAAATTAAATTGTTGATTTGCAAAATTTCAGTTAAAATCGAGGTAAACCGTTTCATAGAATGAAAGATCAATGAGATTAAATTGAAGCTTTTCTGATCAGACCGTCGGGTCGCAACAATTGAATCATGGATGAGTATGATAGATTGACAAGGTTGTAAATCCTCACCAAGCAAAATCAAGATATCATCAGAGTTGATCTCCGCCGTTTCACGATGACTGGCGGGTTGTTGTTTAACAGTTGACCTTATTTTGACCTCATCCCCAT